GTGGGGGACGTCGGCAGGGCGGGGAAACCGGGGCTGCCAGTCAAAGGCAGGGGGTTGGAAGCGGATGAGATCTGTGCTGCCCTCAGGCTCTCTCCCTCAGGAATGGTGAGTCTCTGGTCTCTGGCCGTCGTGGCCTTCGAGCGATTCCTGGTGATTTGCAAACCCCTGGGGAACTTCACGTTCCGTGGCACCCACGCCATTATCGGCTGTCTTGCTACCTGGGTCTTGGGCCTCGTGGCGTCTGCACCCCCTCTCTTTGGATGGAGCCGGTAGGTGTCAGCAGGGGAAACCCAGGGCTGAACTAGCAGGGGCTGTAGTTGGGGGTGAGGGGCACCGGCAGGGCTGGGCTAGCAGGGCTGTAGTTGGGGGTGAGGGGCACCAGCAGGGCTGGGCTAGCAGGGGCTGTAGTTGGGGGTGAGGGGCACCGGCAGGGCTGGGCTAGCAGGGCTGTAGTTGGGGGTGAGGGGCACCAGCAGGGCTGGGCTAGCAGGGGCTGTAGTTGGGGGTGAGGGGCACCGGCAGGGCTGGGCTAGCAGGGCTGTAGTTGGGGGTGAGGGGCACCAGCAGGGCTGGGCTAGCAGGGGCTGTAGTTGGGGGTGAGGGGCACCGGCAGGGCTGGGCTAGCAGGGCTGTAGTTGGGGGTGAGGGGCACCAGCAGGGCTGGGCTAGCAGGGGCTGTAGTTGGGGGTGAGGGGCACCGGCAGGGCTGGGCTAGCAGGGCTGTAGTTGGGGGTGAGGGGGGGCAGGGGTGGGGTGGCAGGGGCTGTAGTTGGGGGTGAGGGGCACCGGCAGGGCTGTGGGGCAGGGCTGGGCTAGCAGGGGCTGCAGTTGGGGGCGAGGTACACCAGCAATGTTCCCTTTCATTTTTTTCATCCATGATGGAACACATTTTGTTCTGTGCACTGAGGCACATGCTGTGAGTGCTCTGCTAATCATCTGGGTGGCACCTGAATCTCTCCTGCTCGGCCACCGAAGCGCCCGGCTTTCAGAGAACGCTGGTCAGGAGTGTGGGCTCTGGCAGCCCGGGACGGGCAGGGCTGGGCTACAGCTGTTTGTGCCCCCCGCAGGTACATCCCCGAAGGGCTGCAGTGCTCATGCGGCCCTGACTGGTACACGACCAACAACAAGTGGAACAATGAGTCCTACGTGATCTTCCTCTTCTGCTTCTGTTTTGGGGTCCCCCTGGCCATCATCATCTTCTCCTATGGCCGCCTGCTGCTGACGCTGCGCGCTGTGAGTCTCCCCTTCTGCTGTCACATGCCCCCTGAATCCCCTCCTCCCGCCATCATGGGGCCTCTGCGCTCTCCCCACTGCCATTGGGTCCCCCGATACTCCTCCCGCCTCCACAGGGCACCTCAGCTCCTCCCAGCACACATGCTCGATTGCCCCTGTTCACTGAAGCCCCGCTGACATGGGCCCTCCCCAACTCCAGCCAGCCACACACGCCTTGTCTGAGCGCCAATGCCACTGGGTCAACCCTCCATCCCAGCCCCCCGCCCCTACTAGTATGTGTCCCTCCCTGTGCAGGGACCCACCACCCTTCATCCCATCAGCAGGGGGATCCCCCAGCTTCCCCACCACAGAGACTGCCATGGCCCTTCCCCAGGCACAGGAAACCTCTGGGTCACAGTGCTAGGAAAGCCCTGGGGTGCCCTGCCAAAGGGTGTGGGGGAGGTGGCGCTTGGGGCTTGAGGGGCAGGTATGCAGCAGGGGTGCGGACTGAGCTGCTCTGACACAGACAGGAACATGCTAAGTTTGGGCTGAGCCCACTTTATTGAGTCCTTATACAGCAGGGGAGGGAACAACAGGCCTGGGCCATGCCCTTCCCCCTCCCAATGACTGGGGGTCCCCCCAATACGGTGGAAACTGCCTGCCCAGTGTAATGTCTCATCTGCAGATCTCCTTTCCATATGGGCAGGGGGGTCCCACCAATATGGCAGACATCTTCCCCCTCCAGAGTGGTGCCCCCCCATTCTTTCTTCAGCCGTTTATGGAGTAGGGTGGGTCCCCAAGGCAAAATCCACATTTGCTTCTCACCCCTAGAGACAGGTTGGGGCAGGTTCCCCCCATGATAACCTCCCTGTCCACCCCCAAGCCGGGTGTCCCACCAATAGTGCAGATTCCCTAACTCTGACCAGGCCTCCATATGGTTAGGGTAGGCCCTACCAAGATGGCCATCTTGCACCATCCGTGTAGATTAGGGTGGGTTCCCCAGGCTGTATTCCCACATGAATATGGACACCCTGTAAACACCATGCCACCACAAGGATTAAGGTGGATTCCACCAAAATGGCCGCCCTGCCCCATCTGTGTCCACAATAGGTTAGAGAGGATCTCAACAATATGGCCACCCTGTGCGGATTAAGGTGGGTCCCACTTATATGGCTGCCCAACATGAATGAGGATGGCTCCCACCAAGATGGCTGAGGTGAGTGAATGAGGGTGGGTCCCTGCACTAGGTGGGTCCCTGGAGGTGGACGGTCATGTCTGCATGGAATAAGGTGGGTCCCAGCAATATGGTCGCCATGCCCCATAGATGACACACTGGCCACTGTACCCCAAATGTGAGGGCAGGCCCCACACAATGGCCCCTGCAGTGGCTGTTGCTACCTCCCATGGGTGAGGACAGGTCCTAGGCAGTCCCCTACATTGGTTCCCCTGGGTCAGGGTGGACCCTAGACAAAGGCTGCTGTGCCCCACAGGTGGGGACAGCAATATGGTCGCCATGCCCCATAGATGACACACTGGCCACTGTACCCCAAATGTGAGGGCAGGCCCCACACAATGGCCCCTGCAGTGGCTGTTGCTACCTCCCATGGGTGAGGACAGGTCCTAGGCAGTCCCCTACATTGGTTCCCCTGGGTCAGGGTGGACCCTAGACAAAGGCTGCTGTGCCCCACAGGTGGGGAGGGCTTGTACACAATGGCTGGCGGGGCCCACCCCCCCCAACGGCCCCCCCCGAGTAGTCGGCCAGGACGCAGAAGGCCGAGCGGGAGGTGACCAAGATGGTGGTGGTGATGGTGGCCAGGTTTCTGGTTTGCTGGCTGCCCTATGCCTCTTTTGCACTGTGGGTTGTGACGCACCGAGGGGAGTCCTTCGACGTGCGCCTCGCCTCCATCCCCGCCGTCTTCTCCAAGGCCTCCACCGTCTACAACCCCATCATCTACGTCTTCATGAACAAGCAGGTCTGTGCCGGGCTGGCTGGGGGCTGGGATAGTATGGGGAAGGGGAAGCAGGCTGGGGGGGAGGGGTTGGGCTGGGGGGAAGGTAGACTTGAGGGGAGCTGGGCTGGAGAGGAAGGAGGCTGGGGGGAGCCAGGCTGGGGGGAAGCAGGCTGAAGAGTGGGGGGGCAGTAAGTTGGCAGCGCTGGGATTAGAGGGGGAGATGCCTGACAATGAGTTGAGAGAAAAGAGAGGGGAGGAGTGAGTCGGGGCTGTGACCCCCAGCACCTGCTCAGGCCCCACTGACTCCCCTCTCCTGCAGTTCCGCTCCTGCCTGCTCAAGCTGCTGTTTTGTGGCCGCAGCCCCTTCGGGGAGGATGACGACGTCTCAGGGTCCTCGCAGGCCACCCAGGTCTCCTCAGTCTCCTCCAGCCAGGTGTCCCCGGCCCAGCCCCAGGACTTCCCAGCATGCCCTGCTCTGCCACCAGCCCGGGGTCATCCCAGCATGCCCTGCTCCAGGCCCCCTGCCCCGGGACATCCCAGCCTGCCCTGCTCCAGGCCCCCTGCCCCGGGACATCCCAGCCTGCCCTGCTCCAGGCCCCCTGCCCCGGGACATCCCAGCCTGCCCTGCTCCAGGCCCCCTGCCCCGGGACATCCCAGCCTGCCCTGCTCCAGGCCCCCTGCCCCGGGACATCCCAGCCTGCCCTGCTCCAGGCCCCCTGCCCCGGGACATCCCAGCCTGCCCTGCTCCAGGCCCCCTGCCCCGGGACATCCCAGCCTGCCCTGCTCCAGGCCCCCTGCCCCGGGACATCCCAGCCTGCCCTGCTCCAGGCCCCCTGCCCCGGGACATCCCAGCCTGCCCTGCTCCAGGCCCCCTGCCCCGGGACATCCCAGCCTGCCCTGCTCCAGGCCCCCTGCCCCGGGACATCCCAGCCTGCCCTGCTCCAGGCCCCCTGCCCCGGGACATCCCAGCCTGCCCTGCTCCAGGCCCCCTGCCCCGGGACATCCCAGCCTGCCCTGCTCCAGGCCCCCTGCCCCGGGACATCCCAGCCTGCCCTGCTCCAGGCCCCCTGCCCCGGGACATCCCAGCCTGCCCTGCTCCAGGCCCCCTGCCCCGGGACATCCCAGCCTGCCCTGCTCCAGGCCCCCTGCCCCGGGACATCCCAGCCTGCCCTGCTCCAGGCCCCCTGCCCCGGGACATCCCAGCCTGCCCTGCTCCAGGCCCCCTGCCCCGGGACATCCCAGCCTGCCCTGCTCCAGGCCCCCTGCCCCGGGACATCCCAGCCTGCCCTGCTCCAGGCCCCCTGCCCCGGGACATCCCAGCCTGCCCTGCTCCAGGCCCCCTGCCCCGGGACATCCCAGCCTGCCCTGCTCCAGGCCCCCTGCCCCGGGACATCCCAGCCTGCCCTGCTCCAGGCCCCCTGCCCCGGGACATCCCAGCCTGCCCTGCTCCAGGCCCCCTGCCCCGGGACATCCCAGCCTGCCCTGCTCCAGGCCCCCTGCCCCGGGACATCCCAGCATGCCCTGCTCTGCCACCAGCCCGGGGTCATCCCAGCATGCCCTGCTCCATGCCCTGGCCCCCTGCCCCGGGACATCCCAGCATGCCCTGCTCCGGGCCCCCTACCCCGGGACATCCCATTATGCCCTGCTCCGGGCCCCCTGCCCCGGGACATCCCAGCATGCCCTGCTCCGGGCCCCCTGCCTTGGGACATCACAGCATGCCCTGCTCCACCACCTGCCCTGAGACATCCCAGCATGCCCTGCTCCATGCCCTGGGACATCCCAGCATGCCTTGCTCTGGGGCCCCATATGATATCCCCTCATGGCTTTCTCCAGGGCCCCCTCCCTGGGACATCCCAGCATGCATTGGAGCCCACAGCAGGAGCTCTGGTTGCTCCTGTTGCAGGGAACTTTCTAGGTGGGCCAGAGCGATACAATCCAAGGGGGTGATCGGGGAGCTCTGGGCCTCTTACAGCCCCCCAGCAAGATCAAAGCTGGGTCCTCACCGCCAGCCTCCTCAGCCCCCAGAGCACAATGGGGCCAGTGGCAGGAGATGGAGCCCCCACTGGGCTCCCATGCCCCTCCAGTGCCCAGACTTCACCCACATACCCCCACGGACGGACTTGGCGGGGCACGTGTGCCACACACAGACATTTGTATATTGTAAATAAGCCCAGTTATTACCTCCTACGCTCTAATTACTCCCTCTAATTATTCCCCCCCCCCGCTGTAATTAATTACCCCCACTTTAATTACCCCCCTCCCATGGCTGTAATTAATTACCCCCCATGTCGGTGGGGGAGGCCCGTACCGTGGGGGCAGCCAGCAACTCCGTCACAAAATGCCTTGATGGGAGCCACAAAGACCATCAAGATGGGGCGGAGGTGCTGGAGACAAGGCTGGGCCCTGCCCCGGCCCCCTGAAATGCCCCACCTTGCCTAGTGCTCTCCTGCAGTGTCTGTGCTCCCCATGGTCCAGCCATTTCCTTGGGTCCCTGCCCCT